GAGTTATTTTCATTTTAATTAGATTATCATGATTTACTCCTTTGGGAATCTTTGCTAATTTATGGATGGAGTAATGAGTGGGTAACAGTAGAGAAGCTGCAGAAGGTGCGTTAACCTACAACTCTGCTTAAACTCACCATAAATAAAGCGTCTCTGTGACATTGTGTTAATTAAAATGGTGATTATATTAGGATGGAAATCGTTTTTCCGGCTTTATCTTAGAATAATTCAGTTTATATCAAAGTGTTCAGCGTTTCTTTAAAGGGACGAATCAAAGCGGGATTTAAAGAACCCATCGAGCAAAGAGCCGAGCAGTAAACCAACTTGTGGAGCAGGGATAGTCTGACCTTTGTCCCCAGTACTGTCCACAGCAGCTCCTTTACCCATCTCCCCTAAAACCAGGAAAACAAACCCAGTTTCTCTTGTTGGCTTCCTGTTAGACGTGGGCTGCATTTAGGAACGTTCCTGAGCTAAAGGCTGGATGTGGGACAGGAATGAGCTCATTCCGCCTGGCAGCTGGTTGGCTAATTTCCAGGCCTACGTGATTAGCCAGGAGCAACTGCCACATCCACCCAGGTTCACTGAGGGCGGCTCTCTCACTCTGAGCTGGATTATATGACAAACTGCATTCCATACAGATTGAAATCACTTAGTGGTTCCTGGAGAGCCGAAAACCTGAACCGCTGTTCTCTCTTTGAATCCCCCCCCCCCAATCCACACACAAAAGCGGGGGCGGGTTCTGATCAGGAATAGGGATTAGATTTAGAACAAAAGAGAAGAACACAAAATGAGATTCTTCACAGAGCTTCAGAACCAGAACCATAGGAGGCGGTTCTGGTTCTGTCTCTATCCTCCTGTGGGTCTCCTCTCTGACCATGTGCTGAGAAACCGTCAGGAGACCAGCTCTTCCAGCAGGTCAACCAGAGATATGGAAACTGGTGACCTCTGATCCCATCCACTTTGTGGTTCAGTCAGATTTTGTTACAATGTTTCATTTTAAGGGATGAGCCAATCTATCCCTTCTATCTCTATAGCTGTTAGCTTTTAATCAAGCTTAACTTCATCAAGTAACTGATGTGAAAGTATTTTTCCTGAAAGGAAATAAAAAATAAAACAAATTTACAGAGATTTTATTCAACTGTCAGAGACCCCATCCGTCCGTCAGAGACCCCATCCGTCCATCAGAGACCCCGCTCGACCGTTAGAGACCCTGTCAGAGACCCCCTCCGACCGCCAGAGACCTCGCCAGACCATCAGAGACCCCGTCCGACTGTCAGAGACCCTGTTCGACCGTTAGAGACCCTGTCA